GAAAAAATGATTAAATGTAGTTAAAAAAAACAAGCCAAGGAAATTCTCCAATTAAAAACAAAGTATATGAACAAAAGGTTAAGAGACATGGAGGACAGAATAAAAAGATCCATTTTGGAATTCCAAAAGTAAAGAAAATCTACATCTTGACACATGGTTGTAAAACACCAAATAAGGAGAAGATCCAAAATTAACAAAAAAGAAAGATAAAAATAAAGGCAACAAACAAATGAACATCAACTTACAATTCCATAAATACAATAGATAAAAAACAAAGATAAAGAATTCAGAGTTTTTCCAATTAGATACACCCACTTAAAAACTTAATGAAAGATATGCTATACTGTACAAAGGATAGGTACTCAGAAAAGATTGAGTGATTGAGAGATGCAAGAAAGACTGGAACAAATAAATTAGGTTAACTGGCCTGGGCTCTGCCTTACGTGGAGGTATACATAGAGAGATAATATTTTTGGCAACAAACAACAGAAGAAAGTGAGTATTTTCTCCAATTAAAAAACTTTTTAGGGGCTAGGGATTTAGCTCAGTGGTTGCAGTGCCTGCTTTGCAAGTGCAAGGACCCGAGTTTGATCCCTGGTACCAGGAAAAAACAAAGTCAAAAAACTTTAGAAAAGGTATTTCTAAAACACATGACTTCGAAAAAGAACTTTTATTGAAAACATACAAAGAACTACAACAAGACAATCTCAAAGAAAAATGGACAAATTATGGGCAATGCTCAAAAGAGGCTATTAAAATAGAAAAGTTTTATATTTTGTCAGTCATTAGGAAAAAATGGAAATGGAAGCCAACATGTAGTAATACTATTGCAGATAGCTTAATTAAAAATTATAAGGCAGCTAGATAAAGCTGGGCCCCTAGCATAGAAGAACAACTGAAGTGCCAGGGATTTAGCTCAGTGGCACTGTGCCTGCCTTGCAAGCACAAGGTCCTCAGTTCAATTCCCAGTAGCAGAATTTAAAAAAAAAGGAAAGGAAAACAATTGAAGCACATTTACTGGTTAACATTATACAAAGAGAAAAGGTACTATACTTACCAATTTCCCGTAGAGATGAATAGTAGTAACTGATACTCTAAATAGACATCAATCTCCCTAGCCCACTTCCTTTCCAGAAGTACATAACTTGTTTCTCCATTTGATCCCCATTTAATCAATATTGCCTGGGTGACTGTACTTATAATCTTATCGGCTGATTATGGTTTGTCCCACCTAGTGCCCACCTTGTAATTTTCTGTTGGGTCTTATGATTTGTCCCACTTTTTGCCCACCTTACCTCATGACTTTGCCCTATAAAACACATTTGAAAAGTGGGGTGGGTAGCCAACCCACTTTCTAGTTCCCTTTCTCTCCTAGAAGCTATCTTTCTCGCAATAAAGTTTTCCTACTCTTAACCTCTGTTGTCCTAGAATTCATTCTTGGATTTTATTTCTTGGTTTTTTGTTTTGTTTTGTTTTTTTGGTACCAGGGATCGAACTCTGGTCCTTATGCTTGCGAGGCAGGCGCTGGAACCACTGAGCGAAATCCCCAGCCCTCATTCTTGGGTTTTAGAGAACATGAGCTTGCATTTCAGATATCTAGCAGGTTGGAAGTTATAATGCTTCCCCTGTTTGGATTATTTTTGCTTATATGGATAACATTTTTGGATTACTTGGTGCACTATGCCAATACTACATATCCAACGAAATGGTTAAAATGAAAGAGACCAACAATATCAAGTACTGACAACAATAGACAAGTGGAACCCAACGCACTGTTGACATATTGTACAACTACTTTGGAAATCTGTTTGACAGTATCTGCTAATGCTGATCCTGTAAATTATATGCATATCCTGTAAACTAACAATTACACTCCCAGGTCCATTATCCAACAGAAATGCTTTCATGCATTTACTAAAATAAGCATATAAAACCTTTCATGGCAGAATTGTTTCCAAACTTGAAATAATTCAATTATTACCACTTTCTGGATTTAAAGTAGAATGGACAAATTGCTCTGTATTCATGGAATGTAATGCTGTACAACAAAGATGAATCCTCAACAATGTTGACGTAAGTCAGCAGAGGTAAAAAAAAAAAAGGGTTCTGGGTGAGAGAGTGAAGGAAGAGACTGAAAAGAGGCATGAACAGGGCAATGCAGAAAAAGTAATGTTTATTTCTCCATTTGGATAATGATTACATTGTTGTATTCATTTTGTAAACAATATTTTTTGTGTACTTCTCTAAATATGGGTTAAAATTTAATGAAAAAATCTACTGAAAGGACTCGGGAAAGTTTAATATATTAAAGAAAAACTTTCATGTACATTGAAATTTAGTTTTAATATATACAACTATATGATTGATTTCTTGTTTGGCATTAATCAGAAATTGCCAAATGCATATTTACATCTTCAACAGACATTATCTGTCTGTTGCAGTTTTGCCTTTTATTTACCAGACTCTGGTGAAAAACCTTACTTTCTAAACCCCAAACTAGATTTGTTCCTATCTCAGAGCACCTGCATCTGAAAAGCTCTTCCTCTACTTGGATGGCCCCATATTATCATCCAAATTCATCAAAATAATCAGAAAAACCTTTTTGATTACAATAGCTAATGTTACCACATACCCACATGTGTCCTACAATTTTGTAACTTTATTCTGCTTTATTCTCTTCACAGTACTTGTCAAAATTTTAAACCTATATTGTTTTAACTTTATTGTCAGTCTTCCTGGAATAAAATGAAAATTCTTTCAATGTGGGGACCTTGTTTGCCTATGTCTGAAAAAGTTTTAGCACATGGAAATTGTTCAGCAAACATTTGTTAATCAAAAGAATTAATGTGCAAAATGATTTAAAGGACAAACAACAAAGTAAAATAGTTCCAAACATTTTTCTCTGGAATGAAAGGTTTAAAACTGTTGATTTGTATTATAGATCATCAGGCAAATATTAAAATTTTTTTTCTTTGCGGTACTGGGGATCAAACTCAGGACCTTGGGCTTGCAAGGGAGGCACAGTGCCACTGAGCTAGATCACTAGACGCTAAAAATTTAAACTATGTGATACCTTATGTAGCAATCAGACAAATATAAACATTTAAAAACAATTATACAATACCTTATGCAGCATTTGGCCTAGGTATTTTGGGGTGCAAATTTCATTCAGAATAACAATATGAAAAGTAACTATACACACACACACGTATGTATATATAACACAATATGGCATAGTTTTCTTAAGAGGATTAATACATCCTGTGACTCAGAAATTTTACTACTTGGAATTTTTTCTTAGGAAGAATTATTTTCTTCTTATAAATTTGACCATAAGTATATTCATTCCAGGTAGTCTTAAAATAATGAAAATTGAAAACAACCTAAAATTCTGACAGTTTTAATTATTGACATGAATTATGAAATATCTGTAATACAAAATGAGTGGTCATTACAAAGTTAAAGACTAAAAGTGAACAGGAAAGCTCATAATATAAGTGAAAAAGGTAAGTTACAAGTTAAGTTTGAAGGCGGGGTTACAGTTCAGTGGTAAAGTACTTGCCCAAGAGGAAGGAAGCCCTGGGTTCAGTCCCTCACTCCCCACTCCTCAAAGAGTCCGAAATACAACTTTAGCTTTTAATTACTGCATACATAGAAAATACCTGATAGATAGATATACAAATATTAAATGTTTATTTTTGGGTAGGTGTAATTAATGATAGGTTTTTTTTCTTTTGCTACATATTCTAGCTTTTCCACAGTATCCATTCATTTATTACTTCTAAAAAAAGTATAAAAATATCTTGTTCTTTTTTTCCTCCATTATTTAATTATAAACTCAAATATTCAAGCTGATTAAGATACACTTCATGTATACATCTCTAAAGAGACATCAGAGATTGCTTGAAATATTTTACAATGGAATTGTTTTGTAAAAAAAATTTGTGAACAGAAAAATGGTAAAGCACAACTATTAAGCTATTTAATATATAGTTGATATTAACTTCTAATCTTTTTTAGAAAGACTACTTTATATGATAGAATTTAAATGCATTTACAAGATAGATAAAATTATTTTGATATAAAAGCCAGAAATGGTGAGTGCCTAACTGTAACTATTTTCTTCTTAGGTAAAGAAAAAACTGATACATTATAAAAGAAAAATGAGTCAATGGCAATATTAGGAATCAAACCAATAAGGATATTTGAAGATCTACAAATAATTCAAGAAATCATGCTATTCCACATAAAAGGTTAAAAGCTATCTGCATTTACAGCACTTAAACTATTGAAAATTCAAGTCAAAATTTTTGATTGGAAGAACCTTATATAAAAGTAACTTCTGTTATTTACCCCTGAAAACTAACAATTTTTAAGTTATTAAAGTTTGTATAACACAACTCATCTAATGTAATTTGTTTTAAATTTTTACAATTTAATATATATTCAATTATTTGAATATAAACTCTAAATTCGTGCTTCTTTAGGTAAAATGCCAATAGAAAAAAATCTTACTATTAGCTGACAGATACTTTTTCTTAAAACAAATGTCTTAACCTAAATTAGCATGTTTACAACTGAGTTTTAATATAATTTAGTTTTCATATATTATGTATCATGGTGTTTAGGGGGCTGCTTTTAAAAAATAAAGTAGGTTTAAAAATTTTAGCTAAAGAAATGAAATAAAAACTAATCAAACTTAAAAGTCCTACTTAGAAGAGGGGAAGGGTGAGTGGAGATGTTCACTGCTACTGTAGATCCATCGTCATCAGGTCACAATAAAAACAATGTAAATAATAAAATATTAATTTTATTTCACTCATTAATTATCCTATAAGACTTTCTACTCAACTTAGTAAATATTAATACATACTTCTAAGTAAGTATGGATTATGCTAAAAATAAAAGTATTAATATATAATATGAACAACCATTTGATCCACTGTTGATGTGGCTACCTGTTAATTCAATGCTTCAACATGGTAATTTATGTGAATTACCTTAACAAAATCTCTATCAGTCTTCTCTTTCCATTCTTCCCCAAATACAGTAGAAAAGGATCCTAAAGCTAAAAGAATAAATAGTATATTTAGTAAAATGCAATTAATTCTTTGGTTCTTAATATTATAAAGTGCAAAACAGGAGTATACGTACATTTTAATATTCCCTTAAAATTATATAATAAATGATAGCAGTAATAACTATGAGTAAAGTATAATAAATGATAATTTTTGAATTTATGTATTATTTCAGTTATAGAACATTTAAAAATCTGTGTTCCTATCAACTAAAGATAAACAACTTGGGCTGAGGATATAGTTCAGTGTCAGAGCACTGATCTAGCATGTGAGAAGATCTGGGGGGCTGGGGATTTGGCTCAGTGGTTCAACCACCTGTCTTGCAAGTGCAAGGACCCAAGTTCAATCCCTGGTACAAAAAAGGAAAAAAAAAATGTACAAGATCTAGGTTCAATCTCCAGCACTGCAAACAACAAAAACAACAACAAACCAACTGGTTTTCCTAAATTATAAGGACAGTAAAAAAATGAAGATTACTTTAGTAGTTACTCTGTCATCAGTTTCCATTAATAGAGAAAAATATGTTTAAAAGGATGGTATTGCTATTACATTGGTAGACTGCTATCATTTCAAAGATCTTCATATTAATTTCAGAAATCACTGTGTAATTCGTATTTCAAGAAACACAGAGGAAGGCATTCTTTGAAAACAATACAAATGAAGTCTCTCAAAATTCTCCAAAGAAAATTATTTTCAAAATAAATATAAACACCACTGTTTTTAAATATAGGATGTCTTCACTAATCCTTTATGTACTCTGAATCTCTAAGCTTTCTCTGTTGGGATGAAAGAAACATTGCTTAAGGAGCATTTGCTAAGTTAATGTTTTAGACTGCTACAATGCAGAATTATTTAGTCATTTAGCCAAATGAAGAATTCAAGAAGATAAAGTGAGTAGAAGGAATGTCCCTCTTATACAACAAAACTAACTGATAGGGTCCTTCCATACTATACTTAATATTTACATGTGATCCTATCCAATGACCAAATAATAAGACTTCACTAAAATGATTCTGATTTCCAAAAGTTTCACTTTAAGATTTTTAACATGTGTTAATTCTCCAACCACAGTCCGTACTAAATGATAAAAGTTATACTTGAAAGATCAAAATTAAAAACCAGGGATCAAAGATTATGAAAGTGAGATGGAAACCCAACAAATTTAGATCTCCAATGATACAACATAAACTGAGAAGTAATAGTCTTTGTTCCTCCCTCACATAAGAAGAATAATTTCAGGCAGGGTAAGAAAGTAATAACTACTTCTGTTTAAAACAATTTCAAAACTGTGTTCATATCAAATAATGGCAAATTTAGAAGAATCTTACTTAGATAGTTCCAAATGCAATTATATTTGAAAGTACACTTGTTGATACAAATCAGATTGCAGAAAACTGTACTCATTTGTAAGTGTCTTGTTACTTAAGATAAAACTAAGAGCAGTTAAAGATTTCAAAATATACTTTTAAAATTTATTCAGTTATGAAATACCAAATAGTTTCTTTGGTGCGAAAAACTATAATAGTACACAGGATCCTAATGAGATAATTAATAATGTGAAATAGGAAGTAAAGGGCTAAAGGTGTAGGGAAAGTGGGAATGGTGGGGGAAAGGTAATAAGGGAAAGGAAAAAAATATGAGAGACTGAAAAAATGGAAATAAAGTGTTTGTAAATGGGGAGGGGAGGAGGGGGTGAAGGGAGGGCAGGGACAAGGGGGAAAAATGAGAATCAAGACCTACTATGTAAAGGTACAGAATCCCAATGATAAATGTAACTGTATTGTATACCCAGATTGTACCAATAAACTCAATTAAAAAAAAATGTATTCAGTTAAAACTAGAAAACAGAAATCTGGTGACTGAAAAGTAAGAAGAGATAATTTCAGGGAAAACTGAACAATTTGATTTATAAAAACTACAACTAGAAAATTCTGTAAGAAGGTTATGAAACATCTGATAAAATTTAATTTGATTTTTAGGAAGCAAATTTACAAATGCTTTGAGATAAAATGTCTATCTTAGTTAAAAGACACAAAACAAGAAAAGACTTCAGAAACAATTTCTTCCACTTCCTAGTTTTCAGAATTTTGTAAAAACCAATTTTTTTTCAATCCAGGAAACCTATGTATTACTCATAGCAAATATCAAAAGCTGCAATAATACAAGCTTACTATTCAAACATTTATAGTTTTAAATTTTTTTTCAATTATTGAGCTGGGTGTGGGGGCACAGGTTTGTAATCCTAACACTTGGCAGGATGAGCCTGGAGGATCACTGGAGTTTGAGGTAAGTCTGGCTACATAGTGGGTTAAAGGCTAGCTTGAAGGACATAATAGCCCTTGTCTGAAAAATAAACAAATACCCAAAACAATCAAAATCAATAAAAAAACCCACAAACATTATCTTAAGTAATGTTTTTAATATAAAGAAGCAAATAAGGACTGCTATTATATCAATAAAAATTATTTTCTCCCTAAAAACCTTTGAAAAAATCTTTAACACCTCTATAGAATAATCATTTCATATTTTCAGTTTAAAACTTACTGTCATCGAACACCCCAGCATTTGCAAGTAATAAAGTGATGATTTTAGGGTCTTTTTCAAGTTGCATGACGTGCTTGCTTTCATTTGATAGAAGAGTGCATACATTAATAGCGAAGTCCACTTCATTTGGGAGTCCAGATAACAGTGAAAGCACCAATTTATTATAATCATTTGGCGAATTAAAGTCCATAGATAGCCCATAACTTTGCCGCAGATAATCTTAACAAAGAAAAGGACAAAAACACTTAAAATATAGGAAGGATTGGATACCCTTATGGTTAGCATCTTTTCAATGCAAGATAGGTGTGTTTTTATTTTTTCTGATAAAATACAAGCTGATCAGAAGTTAAGAGTTTTTAGGTTTATTAAATGTTAAAATTACATTTTAGAAAAAACATCAAAATACAAAAGTGTACTTACCTTCTTGGATATCACTGCCAAAGAAGTATTCTACTATTTTTAAAATTTACATAACCTATACTTTTACCCTTACAATTCAAAAGAATGTTCTGATTTATTGAGATATAATTAAAAATCACTGTTTTTTAGTTTTAGAATTCTGTGTTTTGATAAATAACTTTGAACCACACAACAGTCAAGATGCAAAATATTTCTATCACCTCAAAAAGTATCTTATATCCTGGGTACTCAATTCCAGGTCTTATCCCTTTGTACTACTAATCCTCCATTTTGTTCTACAGCTTTGTTTTTATTATAAAATGTCAAGTAAGTAGAATAACAGTACATAGCTTTTTTGTTTTTGTTTTTTTTTGGGGGGGGCGGTTGAGACAGGGTCTCACTATGTAGGTGAGACTGACCTGGAGCTCACTATGTAGCCCAGGCTGGTCTTGAACTAACAGCGATCCTCCTGCCTCAGCCTCCCTAGTGCTGGGATTACAAGTGTGGACCACCACGCCCGGCTTGTGCCTGATTTCTTTCATTTTACAAAATGCCTTTGAGATTCATATCCATGTTGATATGTGAACAGTAACACATACCCTTTTAAAACTTTGTTTATCTATTTCCTAGTTGAGAAACATTTGAGTTGTTTCTAGTTTTTGGAACCTATAAACACAGTTGCTATAAATATTTACATAGAGGATTTTGTGGGGACCTATTTTTTTCACTTGGCTTAGCCATCTACCTAGAATCGGCATGGCTAGGTCACATGTAAATGTTTAATTTTTTAAAGAAAAATGCAAAACTGTTTCCAAATGTTTTGCATTTGCCTATCTGCCATCAATTTAGAAAATTTTTATTATTCCTCATCTTGCTAGCAGTTAACAAACACTGTCAGATTGACTGATTGATTGATGTGTGAAGCAGGTGGCAGAACCACTGAGCTAAATCCCTGGCCCAGCTTTAAATATTCGAAATATTGCTTATCTAGTATTTGTTTTACAAATAGATTTTTCCAGTCAGTGGACTGTCTTTTCATTTTAAATTTTGATGAAATCTGTCCTGTATGTTTTTACTTTGCTCTTTATGTTTTTGTGTCCTAAGAAGTACTTGTTTAAAGCAAAGTAATATTAAGGTTTTCTATAGAAGAATTAATTTAAAATGCCCACTTACAAAATCTCAAAGATAGGAAAAAGGGCTTACAAAACTCTAAAATACTACATGTTACAGATATATTTTATGTTTTTAGAAATACTGAATTTCTAGAACATTGTATTTGTCAAATTTGCCTTTCACAATTCTTCTATGAAGATACTGCAAATATACCTGCAAAAACTACAAGAAATGGAGCCAGGCCTGGTGGCCATGACTGTTTTCCCAGCACTATGAGAGGTTTGATGAGGAGGATTGTAAGTTCAAGCCTAGCCTGAGCACTGAGCAAGACTGTTATGGCTTGTATCTAGATGTCCCCTGAAAGCTCATGCACTCATAGTCAGGGGTTTTTGGAGCTGGCTAGATCTAGGGTATGTGAGATTGGGATTAAGGATTTGTGGTACTAAATTAGTCCACTGATTGGAATTAGCATAGTGCTGGATGTGGATAATGGAAGCTCCACCCAGGGTATGGTGGCATCAATCAATAGGTTTATAGCCTGGATGGAACATAAAAAGAGGGAAGGCAGGTGGCAGTGGCTGTTGTTACTTGTTGCCTTCTGCCTGCCATACCATGAACCGTTTGCTTTCTCTGATGCCCCTGTGCCTTGCCACCCTGCCTTGGAGCCAGCCAACTATGGATTGAAATAAGCCTTTCCTCCTTTAATTATGGGTATTCAGTATTTTGTCTCAGCAAAAAGAAAAGTAACTAAGACAGAGAATCTGTTTCAAAATAAGAAAAAAGGGGGGGCTGGGAATTAACTTAGTGGGAAGGCCCTGGGCTCAATCAATAGCAGGAGGGAAAAAAAGGGGGCAAAGATCAGAAGTCAGGATGGAGAGGGAGAGGGAATTAAAGAAATAAAAGAACAAAAAGTAAAGAAAACCGCAATAGTCTACCCAATAATTCTACAGATATTAATGTATCCACATAAATACCAAGGAAGGTCAAAGCAGGAACTCAAAAGATTAGGTGTTTATGGCAAGAAAATATACAAAAAAACTACACAAGTGACAAAAATATTGATGTCAATGTTGAATAACAGTAAAGTTTAAAACAAAAGTTGTTCATCATTTTTGCAACAGAATATCTTCTCAAGGTTCTTTTTTAAAATATGGTACTGGGAACTGAACTCAGTCTTTTTTCTTCCTTTTTTTTTTTTTGACACAGGGTCTCACTAAATAGTTCACGCTGGCCTTGAATTTACTATGTAGCTCAGGCTTGAGGCAATCCTCCTGCCTCAGCCTCTTGAGTGTTGGGATTACAGGTGTGCACCATCACACCCGGCAGAGCCCAGGTCTTACGTAAGCTAGGAAAATACTCTGCACTTCCCCAGCCCAAAATAATTTTTCCTTCATGGTTTTAAATTACCACTAGATAATTCTATTTTTGCATTTATTCAGAACACACACACATGCACTGAAAATTAGGAAGTTTATTCTACTTTGCTTAATAATACTTGAAGCATAGGTGAAGTTGTTTTATATGTTGATAGTCATGTTAATTTGTAGAACATCATCATGATGTTTACAGTTCTTTATAAAAATAATAAACAGTACTTCCAAATTCATAAATGCTGTTCTAAAATACTACCCCTTTTCAATCTGAAGTAGATATTGTATAATCTAATGTTCCAAGGCAATTCCTTTTTTCCTCATTATGAACAACTAATTCTTGACTTTGTCTTAAAACAAACTAGATATATTACAGCATAACAAAAAGAGATGTTGTAACAAGTTCAGGAAGTCTATAATTTCTTTAACTTGTGTAGCTCTTTCAGTGAGTTTTATTACAGGCTTCTCAATCTGTATAATTCTATTAATGAGTATTATTACAGACACCCGAAATATCAAAAATTTCACATCATCTTTCTTAAAATAAAACAATTTTAATTAGGAGACTGGGGGAAACAGATACAGAAAAGCATTTTATTTTAAATCAGACTAAAGGGAACAAAGGGTTTGGGAGGTATAGTAGCAGACAATGAAATCTATTTAACCTGCAAGAATGAACAGCTCTACAATATAGGAATCATGTAACTATAAAGTTGAAAACAGTCCTAAAGGTCATTAGCATAAGCACTCAGGAGGCTGAGGCAGGATTGCCATGAGTTTGAGGCCAGCATGGCTCCAGTCAGTTCAAGGCTAGTCTGAACTCATAGCAAGACCCTATCTCAACAACAACAAACACAACAAGAAGTCATTAGCACAGTGTTTCATTCAGTGTAGTAGTATCCTCTAATAATAATATCATTGTATTAGTGTTTTTTATTACCTCTTTTTAGGAATGCAGAACTTAAGACCTAACAAGTCACATTATTTTATTGGTTTAAATTATTAGCAAGCTTTTCTACATACTGATTTAAAATATTTTAATTTTTGGTTCTTACAATAATATCCACTCATTAAAAACAATGCTAGGTTTGCTCTGTTTTTTTCTTTCTCCATTTCAATTATTTTAAAAAGCATGAGTTGAAGTCTCTTCTAAGTTGACAGAATTTAAGAAGAGATTCTATTTGTTCAGCAGTTTTTCATTGAGGAACAAATGTGGAGTTAAAGTCAACATGAAGAAGCACCAAAAAAAGACAAGATGAAAACAAAACAAAAGAACTGGTGATATATCAATACAAATGAGACAGTTTAAACATAAGCATTATCTTTTAGAGAGTCCAGTGCTATATAACTACAACAATAATAAATATTATCAAAAAACATACTTAGAACGCAACTTTCATAAAGAACATAACCTTGAAAAAAGTATCTCCTTTTTTTTTAGGCCAAATGCTGATTGAAGAAAAATGTTCATACTTATCTCCCTAGATCTCTCTCTCTCTCCCTCTCTCTCTCTCTCTCTCTCTCTCTCTCATATCTCAGATTCAATCCCTAGAGCCATTAAAAATTAGAACCCACAACTCTGTTCAAATCTGTTTATCAGATCCTCAACTGGATTATCTCCAATTTTGAGTTCTTTCTAGTTGCATATTCTTGTCTAATTTTTATATTATAAATGACTCAATGGACCTTCCTATCCTCATTTTATTTTATTTTATTGGTTTTTTGAGACAGGATCTCATTATGTAGTTCAGGCAGACCTGGAACTCACGGTGATCCTCCTGCCTTAGCCTCCCAAGTGCTGAGCACTGAGATAAAAGGCATGATTTACCACACCAAGATCTTCTCTTCTTATTTAGTGACTACTCAGAATAAACTGCTTAGCTAACAAGTTAAAAAGTATGTAATAAAAAAGAAAGTTTACTTGAAAGTATAGATATTTGTAACTCTAATAAAAATTCCTATAACTAAAATTCTTAAACAACCTATGATAGAAAGGGCCTTGATACCAATGTCAATCTTTGAAAGATGGACCACTATACTATCTTAATTGTTCTCATGTACACAGGGACTTATTCATGGGATGATAGCTACTTTTCCAATTCAAAACTATGGACCTGTGCCCTGTTAATTTCCAATGACACTTACCTGACACACTGTGTTGCTGGTAATTGTAGGAAGATGGAATTGCACCAATAGGAAGCTGTGGCTTTGGATTGCCAGGTGGTACTTCATCATCATCCTCCCCAAAATGATGAACTTTCTCGTATTTTTCTAGGTAACTAAAATAGAAAAATAGTACAGTAATTTACATCTTATTTTTAACTCCCACAACATGTTATTTTCTAGTTGCTCCCAAATCTAATAATAAACAAATTAGTACAGTGCCACAAATTTGTTACTGAAACAGTTAACTTCAGTTATCAATTACATTTCACATAACCTCAATGCAGTGGAGTGTTGGTATTTTCAAAAGAACATCCTACTACTCAAAACCACAACAGCAACAGCAGTGAATATCAAAGGACATCTACAGATGAACAATAGTATATTTGTTTATTGTTTTTTAAATTATACATGGTTGCTGAAAAAAAAAGTGAAAATTAAAGGATTTCCTAACTCTGGACTCTCCATTTTACCAAAAGAAAACAACATGTTTTCATATTTCAGCACATTTTTGTGAATATTTCTATTTAACAATATAGTTTAGAGGTCTAAGTATGTAATTATATACTGTACTGTTTCATTTTTTAAAAAATGAAATAGTATTTGATCCTACTGATATATAAGAATTAACCTTGTTCTCTGGTGATATAGTCAGATTATTTTCAGTTTTTTTTGCTCTCACAAATCATGTTGCAATAGGCTTAATCTGTATATTTAATTAAATATTTTCTCCTGATAGTAGAAATGGTATGGGTGATACAGATGTGGTTAAATTCCCATCTAAAAGTAGTACACCTAATAAATTTTTATCAATTTATAAGGTAATTCCTGTATTCCCACTGTATCATCATAAATGATATGAGTAATCCTAGTATTAATTAAAATTTCAAATTCACACTCTATTTCTACTTACTAGTTTATAGTAAGATTCCCAATAAAAATTTAAAATGAGGACAAATGGTCAAACCATGTCAAACACAATACTATGTATTCTAACATAGTTGTTATTGCATAAATAAGTCAAACTAATTGCATAAATAAATCAAATTGACATATCCACATTTACCATAAAAAGTGGTGTATATGATTTATTTTATATATCAATCCTAGCATTTTGTTTTTGTACAAAACTTTAACCTTCAAGGTAGAAAGGGTAGAAGCTAAACTTTTATAAATATAAAAACTGTTTCACATTTTCTCCTTTCCATTTTAAAAGCAAAATAATCTACACTCTCAAGCCTGGAAAGGAATTAAAACGTCACTTCTGTTCCTTTCAAGTTCTTCAGAAAAGCTTAATTTGATCAGGAAACTCTTCTCCTAGCAGGCAGGGCAGCTCAACAGCTCGTGAATCCAATACTTTACTCTTGCAGATATAGCATATTAAAGCAGAGATATATGTTCAGATATAACCTCTGAGCATTGAGTAAGGTACGCAGCTGCACAAATTTCAATCTGATCCCGGGATAGAATTTACAGTCTAAAAACATAAAAGGGGCTGGGGATTTGGTTCCACTGCCTGCCTGCCTCACAAGTGCAAGGGCCTGTGTTCAATCCCCAGTACCAAAACAAAACACAAAAGAATGCTCAAAAGGGGGCAGTTTCTTACTAGTATAAATCTATAATGAACTTACATGGGTAAATGAATCGAGCTTATTTTTTTGGATTATTAATGCAACTACCATAGAAAGAAGAACAGGTATAAATTTAGACATAAAAGCAACCTAAATAAAGGCTGCTCAAAAATTACGTGACATGTCTTCTGAGAGAAAACATTACTAGTAAGGGCTATGGGCAGGAACTTTTCTTTTGTTCCTAAACACCCAAAACGGAATATAAGCAATATGGAGTAAACCAACAACACCATGAGTACTATATATTTTAATAAACAGTATACATTATTGCTTACATAAAAATCTTCACAATTCAACTCTTCCTAAGATTTTTTTAAAAATACATGACTTCTGGTCACTTGTGACATTCTAATACTATGCCTCCAAACAGAGACTAGGCACAATTCCAATCCACGGAAATTTATAGTTTAAGCTGTTAGAATGTTTGGAAATTTTATATCTCTGGCTTAAGTACTATCTTTTCTCAATGCTATCATTAACTATTACCAATGGAGTTACAAAAGGTTTTGCCACCAGTTCTGATCTCTTGTCCTCTCACTAAATAACCATGAAATCTTTTTTTTTTCTTTTTGGTTTTTCAAAATTATATTTCTGAAAAGTTTAAACAGACAAGAGAATCAAGCCAAAATACAAAGAAATACAAAGTTACATTTCAAAGTCTTCTGATTTAGTTCTCTAGTATGGCCTTGAGTTTATACACTAATAGATCACTCTGTTTACCTATAAACGAAATATGCTAGGCTGAACATTTCTTTTTCTATTTAGTGTGAATGGCATCAATTTGAAGAGTTAGCATTAACCAAACAAGTATTTACTGAACTCCTACAGTAACCTGCCCTAGCACACCACATATTTAACTTCAAACTGATAAATGATTAGAATCCAGATGAAAGTAACTCTCGTCAGGCAAAAAAAACTTGGTCCCCTTATTTATCATTAGGAAAAGATTTAGGAGGGATGAGTTACATCTTCATTTTCTTTGAATTGTCATTAATTCTTTTCAGGGTAGATTCTATGTTGTACTTCCTATATTCTATGCCATACTTCCTTTCTCATTAAAGAAAGACATCAAATAGAAAGAAGTGAAATATAATATAAAATCAAATGGTGCTACTCATCTAAAACTTGAGCTTAAGTGTGAAGGTTGGAAGTACAGCTCAGTGGTAGAGCTCTTGGCTAGAATGTGCCAAGCTCTGAGTTTTATCCCCAGCACCACAAAAAGCCAACAACAAAAGCATGACCAATACAATAAATGGAAAGTTGCTCATTCAAAATAGCATTTGGGCCGGGGATTTAGCTCAGTAGTGTTACACCTGTCCAACAAGTGTAAGGTCCTGAGTTTCATTCCCAGTACCAGAAAAAAAAAAAAAAAATAGACACTATTAAAATGAATGTGGGAAAATTTAACATATCCTTTGAGTATCGAATTGATTAACTAGATTAGGTTATAGAACTCGACTATAATCACAAATAAGATTTATTAAATGTAGCAATTCTTAATCTCCAGGGAAATTCCAAATTTGATCATATATCACGTCACACAGAAAATCACAATAAATTCAACATTAAATTTTTTTAATTTTTAAAAAATTTTTGGTACTGGGGATTAAACTCGGGTCCTTGTGTTTGCAAGGCAGGCAGTGGCACCACTGAGCTAAATCCCTGAACACAACATTAAATATTTTATAGGGTACATTCTGTAGCTATGATGCAATCAAAGAAATTTTCTTAGAAATCAAAATCAAATACTTGGACAATTAAAAATAATTTTCTATTATAAAAATTCCAAAGCCATATGCAAGGCTAGAAAGACTAGTAAAATAATACCTCCATCTACAGCTATCAATTCATGGTCAATCTAGTTTCATCTTATTTCAATCAATATTCTTCCAGATTAATTTAAATGCTCAACATATAATTTCATCTATAATTATTTTGTCAGGCTACTTGAAAATTAAAAACAGTAACAACCACCACCACCATCCACAAGTTTTGATTCTTCCTAGTTCAAGGCCAAAAAACAATCAAATGTGTATGATGGAAACACTTCCATATAAAACAGAAAGATAACAGGGCTCATATTTATCTCCCCCCTTAAATCCAAATGAAATGAAACTTTACAGGCAAAAATAAATATTGGCGACATTCTAAAGTTAGAAACTTTAGGAATTCTGGTACATTTAAGGCAGCTTAGTATTCACAACTTGCAGAAACTTATAAAGTATTTTGGGAAACACCAGTATGGAAAAACTGGTATCATGAGGTGATGATGATTCCTATTACTGTGATATATAAGCACTTCAAGATTAAAAACCAGGCACAAAACCAAATATGGGAGCCTGGAAACTATAAAGATAATGAAGTTTCTCTGTGAGGACTGGCCAGAAAGAGCATTTAAAAAGTAGCTCTCACATTGTAGAAGATCACATTGGTAATGTATAACATGAGTTTGAGAAGCCTGTCTACACAGAAAGGAAAAAAATTAATGAAAAAAATTAGTTGCTAAAAAGGGCCTATAGATAAACAGGGACATAAATGTAGAAAGAAAAAATGTAAAAACGGATCATCCCAAAGACAGTAAATGATAAAAACAGAAGAATTTCTTTAGATAAAAGGTACAGTATACACATAAAAAAGCTGTGAGGGGCTAGGGTATTACAATGCAAGGGTAATCAGGCAAAAGTTAATGGAAGGCAAAATCACTCAGATACTTCTTTTTTTTTTTTTTTTTTTTTTTTTTTTTTTGCGGTACTGGGGATTGAACTCAGGACCTTGTGTTTGCAAGGCAGGTGTGGCGCCACTGAGCTAAATCCCCAGTCCCAAATATACCTTAATGAAAGATTTAAGCCTCAAATATAACAGAAGATTCTTACAACTATCCAGCTATTAATCCAGGTATTACAGTTGTACACCAAAAAGCTTAAGGAACATTTGAACTAAACCAGATTTCTCTTCACAATTAATTAATAATGAACAAATATCAGACTTGGAGGAGAAAGGTTATTTCATGAGAACTCCTGCCCAAACATGTCTTTCATCTAAAACAACAAAAATTAATTTTCAGATATATAAAATCTCAGAATAAAGCTGCACAACTCTCTGGGGAAAACCAAAAAAACACTCAAATAAGGACTTTAATTGATGGGAGAACCAATACTAAGGAATGGTTAGAAAAAGGGAGTCAAGCCGGGGATTTAGCTCAGCCTCTCAAGCACAAGGTCCCAAGTTCGATCCCTGGTACCAACCCCCCCCCAAGAACAACAACAACAACAACAACAACAACACCAAAATCCCCAACAACAAAAAAACAAACAAACAAATAAAAAGAGAATAAAATGATGGCTACTGAGTGCCAGGGACTTGGGGAAAAGAGATGTTAGTAAAAGGCTACCAACTTTCAAAAAGGTTAACAAAGTTAAATGATAGATGTGGATTTAATTTTGATGATCATTAAAAAATATATCAAATCATCACATTCTATAGGT